TTTATGGCCCATGGAAAGTGCAGAGGCTCAAAGACCCAACAGCTGTCATCCTCATGTCAATCAAAGCCCTTCAGGGACTTGTTTACCTTTCATAGTTCTATACCTTTCGTTCAAAGCTGCTATTCTTTCACTGCTACTTAAATCCCCACAATAAATACTGTCCCTCTTCTTTTTCTACCTTTTTTAAGTCATCCTATTTTTCACACAACTCAGATCCTTTCAAGGTTTGTTATTAGACAGGAAAAGTGGGGGAATTTACACAGAAGGGTCCATGCACCTCTTATTAACCTCATTAAACTACACAGGCCCATTAAAATCTCAAAAAAACCTCACAGTTCTCATCATCTAGCTAACATGGTATTCATAATAAACCAAGAACAGATATAAAGAGTGTGTGTGTTTAGATTATATACAGCTACCCCTTCAAAATGTAAAATTGCAAATATTTTAATATAAAGATTTTTATAGACAATATTATTGAACTGTTTTGTTTATATTTTTTCTCTTTTTCTTTTCACTTCTATTTTCTTCTAATGCATATCATAGTACATCCTTTCTGCTGTCTTTTCAGTGTCTGCTTTCCCTTGTCTGTTTAATGTTATAGGAAAAGCAGACAAAGTTTCAATTTGTTTGTGTCTCATACCGTTGTAACCCCCAGAAAGAAAGGTTCTCTCTTACTATGACTACAGTTTATTTACCCTCCTCCCTTCCACTCTTTTCCCTCCACTTAATCTTCTCCTTCCTTGTCCCTTAATGAGCAGCAATGCTTTTAAAAGCAAGCAAGCAAGCAAGCAAGCAAGCAAGCAGAGAGTTGGTTTTACATAGAAAAAAAGGACACCTAACATACTGTGTAATAGCGGAGCATCTGAAACAAGGATTGTGGCTCAGTTGCAAGTCCCTTTATTCTAAAATTCAGGATGGGGTCTCCATATATTTTAGTATCTGAAATGTTCACTCTAGATTATATCTGAAAGGACTGTATGCAAGTGTAACTAATTCAAAAGCAAAAATCACTCTTCTAAAACTAGAACATGCAGCACCTGTTAAGAGTGCTGGCTTGTTTACCTTTTTTAGGAAGTCTCACACTTCCCTCCATAGGTCTACGCTTGCTGTCTTACTTGTGTGTTCTTCAACAGATAATCCTTATGGGAGATTTTATTTTCAACTTTCTCCCTTTTACAGTACTGTATACTTAGTTTTATTCCACTGTTTCCATGGCATTTTGTCTAATACAGTCTGTGATAATCTCCAGTAAATATACATCCCTAGCAGATTCCTTGTAGTGGTTTCTGCTCATTTTAACTTTCCTTTCTGATGACATCCGCTACTCTCTGATAATCAGCCATATTTCTCTTTTAATCCTATCCTGTCACTAATGTTCTAATATTAAATTGTCAGATGCAAAAACATACTATTGCCTATTTCTTTTCAACACTTCACAAAAGTTGATCAGACACACATGGGAAAGTTGTTCTCATATTTGGTACCTATGTTAGTATACATTTTCCCTCAAAATATTGATCACTAGTAGAAAACAGATCAATAGTCCTGTTATGTCTTAGCATCCTATTCATCAGCACTGGGAATCCAAGACTTTGAGGTTAATCAATATCTACCATTTGAGTTCACGGCCATATTATTGTTGAATTGATCATGGAGAGAAATCAAGGCAATTGTCTCATAAAACACGTCACTTTTTAAAAAGCTAGCACTATTAAGCTGCTGCTAAAGTACTGTGATAGTAAACAGCAAACCCTACAGTCATTCTAGTTAAACTGGACTGATGTTCCCTGCCTCCCTTTAACACTGGTACTGAGGAGTTCATCAGAACAACTGTAATTAAATATAGACTTTATATTTGATCTGGCAAGATATACTAAACAACCTTTTAAAGAGCATCAGTTTTAATAGATAGTTTTTACTTGCTTTGTGACTGCACACAATTTTTTTTTCAGATATACTATTGTAGGATCAGAGCCATGATAAATATATTAAGTCTTCATTTTTAATGGCTTGCTGTACTGTTTCTAAAACAAATAAGTTCCAGATGTAATGGCTTATTAGGTGAATCCACCCTAACCAGCTCATGGAAATGCAGTTCCACACTTTTTTTCTTCCAGGGACATAACCAAACTGGACTTAATGGAGGAACAAGACACGGACAGGAATGAATGGTGATACTGTACTGCTCTCTGTGTCTATAAAGATGCTTTGGGAGGAGGAGAAGATTTTTAATGGATGCAGCTTCATCAATTAAAAAAGTCAAAAGTCCTATGAGAAAAAATGTTTAGGCCCAGCTGATCAATAAAGGACTATTATTATGTTCCTTCATAAGAACATAAAAATGACCATACTGGGTCAGACCAAAGGTCCATCTAGCCCAGTATCCTGTCTTCCAACAGTGGCCAATGTCAGGTGCCCCAGAGGGAATGAACAGAACAGGTCATCATCAAGTGATCCATCCACTGTCGTCCATTCCCAGCTTCTGGCAAACAGCGGTTAGAGACACCATCCGTGCCCATCCTGGCTAATAATCATTGATGGACCTATCCTCCATGAATTTATCTAGTTATTTTTTGAAGCCTGTTATACTCTTGGCCTTGACAACATCCTCTGACAAGGAGTTCCACAGGTTGACTGTGTGTTGTGTGAAAAAATACTTCCTTTTGTTTGTTTTAAATCTGCTGCCTATTAATTTCATTGGGTGACCCCTAGTTCTTGTGTTATGAGGAGTAAATAACACTTCCTTATTTACTTTCTCCACACCAGTCATGATTTTATAGACCTCAATCATATCTCCCCTTAGTCGTCTCTTTTCCAAGCTGAAAAGTCCCAGTCTTATTCATTGCTCCTCATATGGAAGCCATTCCATACCCCTAATCATTTTTCAGCCACTAGAAGGACAGATGTTGAAGGCAGAGGCTTGACTAACTAGGTAGACTGTTTCTATGTTCTATGTAGCCATTGTGGCTTCCAGAGGAGCAGCATTCCCCTCTACAGTAGTAGGGAAGAGGCTGCAGAAACATATATTGTACTCTAGACTTCAGAATTATGAGAAAAATTGAGCCATCCAAAGATGTGGTGGTGTTCCAACAGGGTAGGAATCAGGCTGTGAGGAGACAAGTCACATTGGTGAAATTTTTCAAGATGTTCTGAATTGATAATTGAGAATGCAGGAACTTTTAATAATATTAAATTATCTAACTTAATAGACTATTTTAAGATTAAGAGAAATTAAACAGAAACCCATGTAATTATCTGTTTGGTAATTTTAATTATATTATATAGTCTTTTAACAGGTTACAATAATAATAAAGATATTTGTAACATTTAATGGCTCAGTCCTGTTCTTTAATGCATGACCACAAATCACATCATCTGTATTGTATTTGCAATCCCAGAGTCCCAACTACTATAACTGGATTTGTGGTTCTTGTGTTCAATGGGGGTCTGCATGGGTGCAGGTTTCTACCCATGAAGATCAGATAGTTGGATCAGAGCCCACATGGGACAATGTAAAAAAATGGACTAAAGTGGATTTAGTGCACTTAAAAACTATACCGATATCAGTGGACAAGGTGACTGATCACTTTAAAATACTACATTTCTGTACCAAACGAGTCTATTTTCATATTGTCTCAAAAATATGTATGAAGGGACAAGCCATTTAAACAATAGTTTTACCAGAGACAGGAAGTCAAATTTAGAAAACAAGATATATAGAAACAAAGAATTCCATTTCTATCAGCACCACATTTATCCAAAATGGAGGGTGGTTAACCTAGGAACTTACAATCTTTAACTCATTTCATCACATACTGTAGCATAGTATAAACACATTCTTAATATACAATGCACTGACATTTAGCTCTGATTATTGTCCCCTTGCTGCAATACTCAACAGCTGTACTTTCACATCCTGTGTATGTACATCATTTACTTGAGCATATAATAGCAGATGTATTCTGTGTTTATCCGCATAATACACATTTCAGCTGTAGTACAACAACATGCACTTTCCATATGATACAGTCTATATACACATATGTTGTTCTATGGATTTCTTACATACTATTAGCTAGAAAATGTTGGATTGCTACGGTGAAATCCTGGCTCCCCTGAAGTCAACGGTAGAACACCCACCATTGACTTCAATGGAGCCAGGATTTCACTCCTAGACCCGTTTGTGAGGTTAAATCAGTTCAATGGGATTCTTCTTTTTTTTAAATGGGATCTTTGCTGCATCTATACATACTTTCAGTACATATTGTAGATGTTTTGCGGAGTCCTAACTAGAAAATTCAATTATTTTCATGAAAGTTTGCAGTTTTCCAACAGCAAAGTAAATTTTCTGTACACACAGCAGTGCAGATAGTTCTTTTTATAAACATACAGTTTAACTTCAATATATGCATAAATATATTTGGCTTACATCAAAAATGTTATTATATTATGTCTGTGGATAGTATATATAAGCTTTCATACTGTGAAAGCTTCCAAATGTTGTTTATAGGCATACCTGATACAAAAATATTATTGAAATATGGGAGTCAATTGCACATATCATTTAAAAGAACCAAAATAAATGCAACTCAAAATTTCTTTTACTCCATAACTAACTTCACCACTAGAAAACAATCACAACCCAACAAACAGATTATGACACTCAAAACAAAAAATTCTATGGCAAACAGAATTTCCTTTAAAAAAACCCATCATGTCAACACTACGCCACAATGCCAAGAAATTCTGATTTTGTGTCTAGTGTAAAACAAAATACATGTTAATTTCCCTGGGAGCAAGCTAAAAAAAGCCAGAGCTGTCTCAAAGCTTCAAGTCACACCTAATCACGAGGATGCATCCGAGCTAAATGTGCTATACATTAATTACAGTGGAAAGATGAAATATCATTCAGCTATAATCAACACAAAGGAACCATTGAACATTATGGAAAACACAGAAACCATATCCAATAGGGAAAGAAAGCCATTAAAGCCTACCTGAGACAAGTGAGACTGTGTCTTTCTCCCAAGAGACAACAGTGATGTATGCCTCCACAGAGGAGGGGATAATGCACTTGAAGACCGCTACATTGCCTCTCATGGCTTTCTGGTCCTCCACACGGACTGTGTAGGGTTCCCGTAAAACTAAAATGGAAGAATAGTGAGTTTTTGTTAATGAGTGAGATGGTAAAGCCAAGGTAGAATTAAATAGAAAGAAGTCCTGTCTGGAAAGACAGGTGGGTATCATTTCCCCAAGGACTGAATGTAAACAACACATTTCCTCGGCCTTTATAAGGGAAAGCAGAAGATGAGCTCATGCCCATCACTCCTTTCACTTTCACATGCCTTACAGCAGGCTTAGTCAAAGCCACAAACCCAAAATGGTGGGATCGTGCCCTGCTCCAGTTCTTGCATTGATCTTGCACAATTCACCCAGGATAAAGACAAATTAGGCAGGCAAGTAAAATATTATTAGACTTTCTTCATCCTAATGGCAAGGGTAAGAAAGTACATTTCGTGTCTTGGCTGGTAAATCTGTGATAATTTTACACTGCTGGTCTCCCTGAAAGAACTCCAAGATCCTCTTGTTTACTCCAATAGTATATTATACCTCATCACATTTCAGTGTTCATCCTCTAGTTAATTCTAGGTGCAAGGGGGAAATCATTTCCCAATAGAAACAGTCTCCACATGGAAAAAATGATGCTCTGTCTCATGCCAGCTTGTTTAGGTTCTTATACCATACTTCCTTCAGAAGCTCAGCGTTCTACTTTACCAGAGGGAGCACAGGTTCCCCCAATACTGGTGGGAGATTCCCATATGGTGGTTCCGTTGAATTAAGCTGCCAACCTTCTCTTGGTGCGAGGATAAGTGGGACAACCAGAAGGATGGGAGAGAGGAATTTAGGATGGAGGAGAGCGAGAAGAGTTGAAGGTGCTAACTGTGGAATCAACAGAGGTGAGTGAGAGGGAAGGAAGGAGGGTGCTCAGATTTGCAGAGAAGTGAAGCGTGTTAATAGACTGAAGGTCTCAAAGGTTGAGCAGAAAAGTGAGGGTGGACGTGGAGTGGGCAACACTGAAAGAAATAAGGTAGTGATCAGAAAAAGGAAACTCTGATAGTGAGGTACATTAGTGGGAACAGTACTAGTGACCCTGCTGGCAGCTTGGAGAATTGATCCAGAGATGAAGGTCAAAGGAAGATGGTAGGGAATGGAAGATGCAACAGCATCTACCAGGTCAATACGACAGCTGAGCATTTTTGGGATAGGGGGTGGAAGATAAATAGGAGAAGAGGAAATCCAGGCACTGTAATCAATAAAAAATAGAGATGAGAAGCCTGTGGACAGTAACTAACAGGAGAGGGAGATAGAGATTAATGCCTGATGGAGTACAGTTCAGAAGTGGAAAAGGTGGGAAGTGGCATGAGTGAGACAGTAGGAGCTCAATACCACCATTGCTTCATATCTGGGCTGTGTGAGAAGAGACCACTACAAGTAGGGTGACCAGATGGGATGAAGAAAATATCGGGACACATGGGGGGGGGGGGGGGGGCCCCCCGGCGAAAAAAAAAAATGGAGTCCTGCCAGCAGAGAGAGAGAAACAAACAAAAACGGGAGTCCCAGAGTCCTGCCGGCATAGAGGGGAAAAAAAAAAAGCGGAGTCCCACCGGCGGAACAAAACAAAACAAAAAACAAAACAAAAAAACCAGGAGTGCGAAATATCGGGACAAATTGCGTCCCGACCAAACATCGATCGAGACGCGGGACAAACGCCTACAAATCGGGACAGTCCCGATTTTATCGGGATATCTGGTCACCCTAACTACAAGAATGCAGCTACAAAAGAGGTGTTGGAAAAGGGGGAGGCCAGTTTCAGTGAATACAAAGAGATGAAAGGAGCAAGAGGCAAAGCGGCCATGCAGGTCTAGTAGTCATCATTACCAATGAGAGTAATTTCAGTGCCCTAAGGTAATCATGTCAGTAGAGCTATGGGACCATTGTATAGAAACTTCCTCTACTCCCACTGCAAAACAAAACAAAAAACTAAACAAAAAAATTCACTGAGAGCAAAATTTAAGTATAAGCACATTCACTCTAAGTGGGTGTGGCTGTATTTGCTTCCCAGTATTTAGATGTATATTTCTGGAATAAAGAAGCCATGGACTTATAAAATGGTGACCTCTTTACAATTGCTTCTCATTTAAAAAAAAAAAAAAAAGAAGTGTGTATGGCCAGATTCAAATTGTAAGTTAAGCATGTACAAATAGTGAAGGGTTTCGAATTACAGTGCAACCACTAGCTCATGAAGAGGAAAGTGGTTTGTTGTTTTTTTTTAGTTTTACAATCTGCATAGACAATTATATAGTTTAAAGGTCAACAGGTCTAAAAATAAAATGAATCAAAATTAAGTAAATAAGAGAAGATGGCATCATTAGTCTAAAAATACTGTATATTACTGATTATAAATAATGAGGCAAAGTTACTAACTCTGATCACAGACTTGCTGGATTGTCAGAAGCATATGTTCTCTTACAGCAGCTTCCTTGGAACACCTCTTCACATGTGAAAGAAGCCAGCTACCATCTTCTTTCCATACTCCAGTGAAGGGCTCACAAAGCACAAGGATCTCCTTCTTTACGTGGCTAACTGTCCCCTACCACTAATGCTCCAGGGATAGCTCGCAGAGCATGGGCTATTTTGAGAAGGTATCATGACACAATATTATGAACAGGGACAGTGCAAGATGGTTCACATTTTTTCTGAACTACTTGTACAGTTACAAAAACTTGTCATGTCATTAAAAAAGCCACTTCCAGGGCAATTTTTCCAAGAAGCAAATGTACACAAACACCTGTAAATCAGTGAAACTTGACAGAGACAGAACTAATCTCATTTCCTCAATCCCTTGCTGGGGAGATTTACAGTATCTGGACCTTGACATTTTGGCATATGGGAAGGGAGAGGGCACATGTTCATCAGATTTCCAAACCAAACTATTAATCTTTGGAATTTGCAATATCCAAGGAGGTTGAGATAGATCACAAGTAATTATTCAATTTCAAACTGCATGAGACAGTTCTTGTTTGTGTACATGCACTAACTTTTTTGTTTAATGCATTCACAATGTTGCTAAGCCTCATGATTTTATCATGAGCTTTGTGATTTTTGCTGTTTTTCTTAAAGCCCCAGATCCCAGAGTCATTTGATTGCATGAGACTCATCTTTCATGGGGGAAAAAAAAGTCTCTAGCTTTCACAGTTGCTTGGGGAAAAAAAAAACTTGAAAGCAAGATGGACCTACCTCCATTTTCCCCCCGCTAAGGATCTGACCCAGAGCATTTATCTACATTACATGCAAAGCCAAAAAAATTTCAGCTCAACCATCCCCTTTGAGCACCTCCACCATCCACAAAAATCCACAGGGTAGCCACTGGACACGCTAAGTTTTCTTCTAGGGATTTCCTAGGATGGATGCCAGGGATTCGTTGCCTCTCCTGACCAAACAGAAACTAGCTTTGTGTTAGGTTATTCCATTAGTCACATGTCTAGCTCTAAGAAATCCTTTGATTGGCTGGGAAGGAGGGCACTGCACCCACTTTATGCGGCGCTAGGGGGGAGCAAAAGGTCATTCCAGCTTTCATCCTGCTTGCAGCAGGGTTTCTCTCTACCTGCTGTGGGGTAAGGCTTAGGCCCAGTCGTTGGTCCTTTCCTCAGGATACTGCATTTAATTACCAAATAGAGAGAGGTTTTATGTTGACTTATCGCTGCGTTCTCTTTTCTGCTGTGGCCAAGCCAGAATCATGTTCAGGCTTCCGTATGATCCAGCATTTTGTGTCAGAACTTTTGGGGGACTGTGTAGTCTTTGCCAGAAGTTACATTGTGTCATCTCTTTGCTCTCTTCATAACATAATACGCAGAGGCTGCACTGGTAGCTGGGTTCCAAATAACCGTGTTTACTAACTATATACAAATATACAAGGCCTCGCTATCTGTACACACTGCTAACTCTGGCAGGGTTCTGATGGCTCCTGCAATAAAAAATAGGGAGGCCCACTAGAGGGCTCCGAAACTATTTATAGGGATATCACCCAGTTCCTATACATTGCAAATACATTATCCAGTTTCTGTAGGGATCGTAGGGAGGGGTATATATCTCCCAGAATTGTGGGATTGGGCGTATCCCTGAGACTGAATGATGGAGATAACCTGGTATCAGGCTCAATGGCAGCTCTAATGCTCTTGATATTTGTTGGTGAGGAGGAGGGGGGATTTGTGATCCAAGCCCTGTATGCAGGCCCAGATGGGCTTGGCTGTTTATCTGGATGGATAACTGTTTTGACAGTGGGGAGAAAGGGTGGAATATGGCTGGGCAGAAGCTGCAGGCACACTTTGCAGAGGCTATAGTTATTCCCTTCTTTCCTTTGCTTATGCTATTGATGTTTGTTTATTAGCAAAATGGCTGTCTTTTGTGCCATAGACTATCCTTAGATTCTAAGGTGACGTCTTGGTGATCCCACGAGCCACAGAGGGAACAGGAAAATGGCTTTCACATTCAAGTACCTATTTGCATAATTACTTCTTATATACACCTATATACCGGTACATGATTGGGAGTACAATGGAGGTATGCACACATTTTCAGCTGCTTCATAGGTCCCTGCTGCATGGACCTCATTGCTTGATCAGAGCCTTAGTTAGCAAGGTTTCAAGATACAGTCTTCTTTAGGCAGTCACATTAGTGTATCCACAAAAGAATAAGCAACGAATATTTGAGTCTTTAAACATCATTAGCATGCAAAATTTTATGAGGAAACCACCCAACACTTCAGCGTTTCTGCTTAAAAGAAGCTCAAGGAAAGAACTGCAAGGAAGTAAAGACTGAGATGCATTGGCAAATCCACAGGAAAGCTAATGTGACATCTTCTCTCCCTAAAAAGATCAAATCTCTTGTCTACAGATTCAATAAACTCAAAAAAAAAGTATATTCTACACAGAATGTATTTTTGTAGACTGTATGTTCTGGATAGTGCATTTCATGAATTTCTTGGAGATGTCAGTTTTATTTTTTGTACCTTCTAAATTATCACTTTGCATGTCTTTGAAGTCATATTTAGCATT